AACTATGATATACTATGCATTTTATTTTAAGCTATATATTACTACTATTACTTTAAAAAAGTATACAATCTTTAGCTATCATCTAATAGGTTCATGCAATTACCTGGTGACTGGCCACAAGTCATTGCATTAAGATACCAGTGATGATGACTATACATAAGTTGAGCAAAGCAGGATTGAACCGGAGTCTATAGTAAGGAGATACAAACCATGATGATACTCTACAGACTACCAATCTTACACAATCAAGTGAACCAATCTTAGTGTTCTCAGTAATCTCGGTTAATCTGATATCGTCATCAGAATAGTGGGAACAATAAAAATTAGCGAATTTACCTAATAATAGAATTAAACAAACAAAAATTTATACATATATTGGCATTAGGCAATTGATATGAAGAATTTCAGATGCATGGTTGTATACTTACTCAAACATGATAAAGTCCTACTATCAAAGAAGTATCCATCAAAGCATTCACAGTAATAGCTTCCTATAGTATTTACACATGTCTGCTGACAGCCACCATTACTGACCAAGCACTCATTCACATCTACAAAAAATGTGAGCACATGTCAGGTATCTATACATAATCTTACCACGACATCTTGTAAAACCAATTGCTATAAATCCAGCAGGACACGAGCAATTAATATTTGTGTTGTTCACTATATTGCAGTTGTACTCACAGTTATAAGAGAGACACTCTTTAAATCCTAAAGGTTCATGTACAATCATTTATCATTGTAAGTTGTACCTTTACTTACCGTAACTGCTCAGTCTAGTTGGGTGAGTAATGGATTCATTGATATTACAAAGGCTCTCATTACAGTAGCATGTGTATTCATTCTTTAATGCTCCAATGAATGGTACATCAATAATGCAATCAGGAGTTATATCAGAAGTGTTTGCTACTGAGCAACCTTTATAATAAATGTCAATTTTATTGGTAGTGGAATTCGCTCTATATACAGATTGACAAAAGCACCTCTCATTTATGCTACAGTCACACGTTTCATAATAATGCTGACACTTATCAGTACCACTGCAGTTATAATGGTCACACACCAATTTACCTAAAGGAATAATTGATACAGATAACCTCTGCTACAACAAAGCACTTTAATGCAACAATAACAGTACTACTAGATCTAACCTGGTTCAGTACTTGGTACTGGCTCATTTGGAGGACTTAAATGATAACTGAATTTCGGCTTCATTAACTCAGCTAGTGCATCAGCTCTACCACCAGGATTATTACAGCGATCACCAGTACAACAGCAATGCTGAGTTAGATCAGTAATGTTTGGGCTACAAAGGAGGTCTCTGGTATTGCACCTAAGACTGCTGCAACCAAATTCTTGGAAGATTATTCTCGCTGGAGGAAAGTTAGAGCGATCAATGGCAGCTATGCGAACACAAGAGTTGCTGGAAGGAGTACATGTCTTGTAACAAAGTAGATTGTTATCATAGGGACAATCATCTGTATAACAAACGAGCAGATAAGACGGTACTGGAAGAAGGAGAGCCAACAAACAAAACACTAAAATCCGTAATTCAGCCATGTGGGTTGGGTGTGGTCGCCTTTGGGCACCGCCCGTTATAGCCCCGGGGTTTGGCGGTAAATCAAGATGTCAGTTGTAGACATCTTTCTTGTAAGTTAAGGTTTATATTTCTAATAAATTGTGAAAGCCATTGGTGCATGTAGAAATATCAAGAAGAGTTGGATTTGAAGCATGAAAAGCAAGAGAGACTGGTCAAGCTAAGTCGTGATGTCACCATTCAGAGCAAGAAGGTCATTTTTCAGATCCACCGCCATTTTGATGAGAAAGAAGATGCAGGAGAGAATAAAAACGAGGACATATTGCGGGAAGCACAGCAGAAACTAGACTTCATAAGATCTAGTCTAATTAGAAAAATCACGGAGGAGATACAATTTGAAGACGTGGGGAAATTTCATAAGTCTTACAGCAGCGGGATTCAAGAATATTTAGAGGCTGTAATGTTCCTTTATTATAAAAAGAATGGCAGGCTAGTTTCTTTTGCAGAAGTACAGAAAGACCTCATATACAGCAATGACGAAGCCAGCAGTTCCGACAAGAATTATTTAAAGTTTCCCCTTTCAGTCACTGATTATGTACTTAGTATAGCTGATTTAACTGGTGAGCTAATGAGACAAGCAGTGACTGTAGTGTCTAATGGTAATACAACACTCCCTTTTCTCATTCTTCATTTCCTCCGAGATGTACAAACCTTCTTTCTGGGTCTCAAATCTACCGGTAATTACAGCTGCAAGAAAGAGTTGAGTCAAAAACTGAGCACTCTTAATGAATGCGTGACTAAAGTAGAGAGAGTCTGTTTCCATATTAGACTAAGAGGGTCTGAATATAACTTTAAATTCATGCAATTGGAAGAGGAATTTAATTAATCAAAATTAATTATTATTACCCATAATAATTATTATTAAGCAAAGTTGTAGGCTTGAAATTTATGCAATTATGAATTCTCTTCTAAGCCGACCATTTTAGCAGATAGCGTCCACAGCTGCTTGGCTGCCTCGTCACTTTGACTGATCTCAGTTTCAAGCTCCTTTTCTTGACAATCTGCAAAATATTTTCCAGAAACCCTCTCTAACTCCTCAGAAACGGCACAGCAAATAGTTGTCTGGGCTCCTTGATACGGTGTCTTGAAAATAAGCAGAATAAAAGGATACACCAACATCTAAAAACGTTGCAATAATAAAGGACAATTAGAATTTGTCACTCACAAACCTTTCTAAACCAGTTCATGTTAGGCATAAAATGTCTTCCTAGCTCTGTACGAATGACTCCAGGATGAAGAGAATTAGCAGTGACATTTGTTCCAACAAGTCGTCTAGCTAGTTCCCGAGTGAAAAGAACATTAGCTAGTTTGCTGTGATAGTAAACAGCGTAAGGTTCGTAGTCTTTCTCACTGTTCAGATCATGAAACTTTACTTCTTTGCAATACTTGTAGCCGAGTGATGCAACATTTATAATACGAACTGAAGGAGACTCTTTTAATTTATTGAGGAGTAGGTTAGTGAGGAGGAAGTGTCCGAGATGATTGACACCAAACTGCATCTCAAACCCATCCTCTGTCCTCCATTGAGGGCAGGCCATGATACCAGCATTGTTAATGAGGATATCAATGTGTGCCTCTTCTTGTAGTACTGACTTTGAAAACTCGCGTACCGATGACAAGGAGGCTAAGTCAAGATGGCGATACACAACGTCTTCACTCCCACTTTTGACACGTATATCTTTCTCTGCCTCCCTCCCTCTCTCTGGATCCCGGCAGGCTAGTATCACCTTTGCTTTACGTTTAGCTAATTCAATGGCTGTTTCTTTACCAATACCTGTATTAGCACCAGTAATGATCACTGTCTTGCCTGTTAGCATTGCATTAGAGTGACAGAACCCACCAGCGAAATGCCTATTTCATTATAAAGAGTTGCAAGATTGACTCACATTTCTTCATACCTTCTTAGGAAAATAAGAGCCACACCAGCTACAGCAACTCCAACACCAATGCTCCATTTTACCCTAGCACCCACCATTTCTACTATTAAAGACACACCTCCAGACTACTAGACTTGTATAACTATAGTTTTAGATCAATCTTATTTAAATTTAAAAACTTGTAAAATAATTATTATAGTGACTGCTTTATAAGGTCTAATCTAAAGCTAAGGCCAAATCTCTTCTCTCATCATGAATCTGGCTCATCATCTTCCAGTCCTACTAGTACTCTTGAAATACTCCAAAGTCTCTCGGCAGCTTCATCATCCAGAGCAGCAGGTGTCTGGAGTTTCTCGATCTTGCAATCACCGAAATACCCACCAGAAACGTTACTCAATTCATCGGCGACGGCACAATGGATGGTGGTCTGTGCTCCTTGATGAGGAGTTTTGAAAAAGAGGAGGACAATAGGAAGTAAAGCAAGCTACAGTGGGAAAGACAGAGAAAAAGAATATTTAACACATAGGTACATGCAATGTAAGTGAATTAACAGTTCTATTTTAATTTTGATCTAAACTCCCTGTACTAGACTATACAGTACTAGACTATACAGGGACTTTGGCTAAATTTTGGAGCAACTTTAAAAATTCATAACAAATCCAATCTTGATCAGAATGAGCCTAAACTTTCTACACAACACAAGAACATGTATATGTATCAGAAAATATTATAAAAATGGAGAATTCTCTCCTAGTCATTTTTGGCAAAATTTGGCCAAATACCCTGTACTATAGTACAGGGACTTTGGCTTGATTTTTGAGCAACTTTAAAAATTCATAAAAAAATCCAATTTTGATTGGAATCAGCTCAAACTTTCTACACAATACAAGAACATGTATACGTATCAGAAAATATTATAAAAATGGAGAATTCTCTCCTAGTCATTTTTGGCAAAATTTGGTCAAAGTCCCTGTACTATATATAGTACAGGGACTTTGGCTTGATTTTTGAGCAACTTTAAAAATTCATAAAAAATCCAATTTTGATTGGAATCAGCTCAAACTTGCTACTCAACATAAGAACATGTATACGTATCAGAAAATATTATAAAAATGGAGAATTCTCTCCTAGTCATTTTTGGCAAAATTTGGCCAAATACCCTGTACTATAGTACAGGGTATTTGGCCAAATTTTGGAGCAACTTTAAAAATTCATAAAAAATCCAATCTTGATCGGAATGAGCCTAAACTTTCTACACAACACAAGAACATGTATATGTATCAGAAAATATTATAAAAATGGAGAATTCTCTCCTAGTCATTTTTGGCAAAATTTGGCCAAATACCCTGTACTATAGTACAGGGACTTTGGCCCGATTTTGAAGCAACTTCAAAAATTTGTAGAAAATCCAATTTTGATCGGAATCAGCTCATACATGTATATATGTACTAATTTAAGTAATCATACATGTATGATCCTTGTTTTTAATTGCAATTCTTAGTATACCATTACTATTACCCACTGTGCATATTAATCATTCGTTCAGTTTCAATACCTTTTTAATGTATCCTGTCTTCTTCTCAATGTGTCTCATTAGTTCAGTCCAGCATACGCCAGGATGGAGGCAGTTTGCCGTTACTCTTGTCCCTTCCAGTCTACCAGCCAGCGAGCGGGTAAACAATATATTAGCTAGTTTGCTATGGCAGTAAACAAGGTAAGGCTCGTAATCTTGCTCGTTATTCAGGTCATCAAAGTTGAGACCTTTCGAGAGCTTATAACGACTCGAAGTGATGTTTATAATACGAGCAGAAGGAGCCTCTTTTAATTTATCGAGGAGTAGGTTAGTGAGGAGGAAGTGTCCGAGATGATTGACACCAAACTGCATCTCAAACCCATCCTCTGTCCTCCACTGAGGGCAGGCCATGATACCAGCATTGTTAATGAGGATATCAATGTGTGTCTCTTCTTGTAGTACTGACTTTGAAAACTCACGTACTGATGACAGGGAGGCTAAGTCAAGATGGCGATACACAACGTCTTCACTCCCACTTTTGACACGTACATCTCTCTCTGCTTCCCTCCCTCTCTCTGGGTTCCGGCAGGCTAGTATCACCTTTGCTTTACGTTTAGCTAATTCAATGGCTGTTTCTTTACCAATACCTGTATTAGCACCAGTAATGATCACTGTCTTGCCTGTCAGCTTTGCCTTTGATTTGCAAACACCTCCACTGAAATATCTATAAAAAGCGAGGGGGTGTTTCAATGATAAAGTAAACCCAATACACCGTTCTTACTTCCTCAAGAGGACGAGGCCAGTTCCTATAGTCACTGCACCAGTTATCATATTGTATGGGTAAGAGGTGAGGGTGCTTACAACATCAGAAAAATTTATATGAAGATCTGAACCGAGGAATTGATTACCAGCCATTTTGGAAGCTCTAAACTGGGTGGGGGTGTTAGAAAGGGTGTGGCTCAAAATATAAATGGCGTATTTTGTTAATGCTAGTGGAGTTCAGTTTGAGGTTTTATCTAAAGGAGAGCATACTATTGGTAGAGGACCCCTCTTGAAAGTAAATAAAAATTTTAATTTATTAATTTTTGCACCCTCTTTTAGATTACTGACAAGAGAGTGTCCAGGAATCATGCCACAGTTAAAGTAAATGATGATAATGCTGTCTCCATTTGTCCTGTAAGCTCATTTAGTCTCTTTATTATGCATTGAGTAGTATGACTAGAGACACACCAATCCATGCTATTACAAACCCAGTGGGAGGGACGAGCAGATTCAACTGAAGAAAGACGTTTGGCAAACATTATCAGATGGGGATCAGATCTCAATCCTTCATTACAATATCAAAGAATTAGTTTATACTTTAAGAGTCACAGTCGATCCTAAAGAAGAAACACTGAAAGAAGATGCAACATTGAAGGTCGAAGAAGAGAAAGAGGAGGACAATGAAGAGGCATCTAATCTAGATGATGGTGATACTGTTAAAGAAAAACCTCTCATTAATTCTGATAAAAACTCCTATCCCTCGAATAGCTCAATGCTAAAAGAATCGTTGACGACTGAAAAGAAGAAGAAAACTCGAGTATTACCAGCATGGATGCTAAATGCTGCTTCAACACTACAGACTACAAATGATGAGAACGCTACAAAGTTATCTCCACCACCAAAGAAGAGGAAGACAAGCACAAAGACCTCTGGTAAGGACTTGGTATGCTTTTACCATATGACTGCTTCTTCTGTTAGGATCCAGCAGCAGTGCTGGTGCTACTGATATTAAAAAGACCAAAGAAACAAAAACTTCTTCTAAATCTTCACCTAAACCAAAAAAGGTTAATAATTTATTGCTATAGTCAGTGTATTAGGACAATTTTGTAGACTACAGCCAAAGATAGCAAGGCATCACCAACTCCAATTGATTCAGATGAGTCTACTGAAGCAGACAAGAAAAAGGCTTTACCAGCTTGCCCTTATGGAAAAGGTTGCTATAGGTTTGTCCATAGCAGTCAGCATTCAATCATTATCATTATTTTGTAGGAAGAATCCAGTTCATTTTCAGGAGTACACTCACAATGATGAAGAAGAAGAGGAAGACACAAAGGGTGACTCAATTGACGAGGCTGATAAGCCAGAGTGTCCATATGGAACTTCATGTTATCGGAAAAACCCACTTCATCGCCAGCAATTTAATCATTCAAAGGCACCAGGTATGATTAAGGAAGCACTATTATGATACATTGTAATCTGTTTCTTGTTGCAATTTCCTTAGCTTCCGACAGCAGGAAAAGAGCAACTCGAACAAGCACTAGATCAACACGTGGTAAGCATTTAAGGTTAATGAACGCTATGTGTAAGTGCTCATTTTGACTTCAGGGAAAAAGCCAAAGAAAAGTGTGTTAGTTGGTGACAGTGATGATGATGGAGAAGCAAATTCTTATGATTACAATGATTCTTTTATTGATAATGCAGAGGGGGAAGGAGAAGGTATGCAATGAGAAGTAGTTTGTTTGGAATTGTTGCACCATTTTGTTTACATAGCAGAGTGTACATTAGAAATCTAGAATTGTTTAATTTAGAAATTCACTCAACTTTCTCTCTCAAAAAAATATAGATGACTCATCTACCAGTTATGGGGCAGACTCTGATGAAGATGCAGATTGGGCTCCAATGGAAGACAGCGAAGAGATTAGTGAGCTACTATCTGATGCAAAGGAGTTTGTGTCAAACAGTAAAATGCAGAAATAGACAAAATGCACAATATATATAATTAAAAGTAAAAAAAATAATGATTATTAGATCTAAAACTAAGATCAACCAATATAAAATCTTTCTTTATGATGTTATCCTTTTATACATTACATCAGTTCTCATTATATACTTGACTCCTGAGGTAACTTTTGTTCCCTCATGATAAAAGTCTAGATTTGCCTGTGGGAAAATGACGCATAGCCCAGGCTCTGGCGTCACAGAGTGCTTCAGTTTTCTTGTTTTGTGTGTAATAAAGTTTGTCAGCCCTCCTTCAAACTCATCCGTACCATTTAGGTAGAACATGCAAGTAAGAATGCTTTTGTGATCGGAGTTGATGGTGTAGATACCATCCGTATGTGCACCGAAATAGTGCCCCGAAACATACTTGCAGAACCTGAATCTGGTATTGAGACCCTCTAGGCTCCATTGAGCATCAAAGGCTTCTACCCTTGCAGGGATATACGGCTTGAGGCGGTCCCATATGAACTCGGAGAGTTTGGGGTCATCGGACATGTATCTGTCATTATATCTGTCGTTGTACATGTAGCAGTACTGACTGGCATCTTGGTAACCTTTAGACTCTGTTAAGCTCACAATGGCTTTGCATTCTTCTGGTGTCAAGGCATTGGAGAGGGATAAGCCTTCTTTTAGAAATGGTGCAACTGTTATTGCTGGTGACATTGACTGATTGTCTTGAAGAGATGGTCTTAGTTCTTCAAATACTGGAGGCCACTTTATAGGATCTTCCATTGTATTAAATTGTTACTGACTTCTCACTAAGTTCCAAGGTCTGACTGAGCTCAGCTGATTAATCCACTTTTATATTGTTTATGATGCTGATATTTATAGAAAGACTTAGTACGTCATCATGACTTAGTTTATTCTATAAATAGAACCTAGTCTAGTTCTGTCTATTTTTAGATGCAAAATTATTGACCACGCCCATAATATAGACAGGATATAATAATTAAGTAGACAGGATGTGAATTCACTGAATTGTGAATTATTTCTAAATGTTTGGTAAAGGTTTGTCTGGACTTTTTTGCTTTGTTCTGCCACTATTAGTATTCTTCATTGCACTTTTTGTACAAGAAGAAAGGACTGAGATTGACCCTGATCTAAACCTTGATACTAATGAGCAACCAATCATACTATTCTGGACTCTATTTAGCAGAGCAAAGTGGCCTATTGATGAAGGCAAGCGTCATTGTGGTGAACACAGTTGCTACTTCACTTCAAACAAGAAGCTGTTTTCTAACAGCAGTGCAGTCATATTTAGTAAATGTGCATGGGGTTTTCTGACTGACGTACTTAATGCAGTTAATCTTAAGCGACCCGAAAAGCAACGCTGGATCCTTGTAAGTGGCGAGTCTCCAGTGAATCGTCCAATTTATCATTTTTTGAGGAACTATCCAATTTTCAATTGGTCAATCTCTTATAGAACTGACTCTGATGTCAAAGGTGTCTATGGATATACATTTCCTGGGAAATTTCAAGATGGCTTTGATCCTTACAAGAACTATCTTAAAGGAAAGACAATTGAAGTCAGTGCACTGATCAGCCATTGTGTGTATGATAGATTGAAAGCAGTGAGGAGTCTAATGAAATACATTGATGTTAACCTAATGGGAGCTTGTACTGGCAAGAGGTTGTCTGTTACTGAGAGTCATTTGCAAATTCAGAGCTCAAAATTTTACTTATCATTTGAGAACTCATTATGTGAAGATTATGTGACTGAGAAAACTTATAGGAATGCATATACAAATGAAGCTGTTCCAGTCATACTATCAGGAGCTAATCTGTCTAACCCACTAATAGTACCACCAGGATCATACATTGATGCAAGCAAATTTAAAACTGCTAAAGAACTGGCTGATTATTTAAAGTATGTTGGGGAGAGTGAAGTGTTATACAATAAGTTTTTTGAATGGAGAGCTAGTTGGAATATTAACACGACAAATTGGGATGTATTGTGTAAACTCTGTGACAAGATACACGAAAGCAGTCCAGCAGAAACAAAAGTTTACGCTGATCTCAGTGGCCTATACAGCAAGGAGAGAGAATGCAAACCTTATATTAGATGGAATTAATTTTTTATTTTTCATTATTATCATTTGGTGGGAGGTGTGGCTGAGTTTGAGCCACACCTATTTGACTAAAATGAAGTTTATGGAGAACCTGTTTCGACTATTGTTGCTCCTGTTACTGATCCTGGTAGCGTATTTTGTGTACAGAATGCAACAGAAACCAGAGGCTGTCACACAGAATACTCCATTGCCTCAAGAAAATCAAACAATCATCTTATTCTGGACCTTATTATTTGCTCATTCTTGGCCTTTTGAAGGCATCCGCCATTGTGGGACTTATGCATGCTATTTCACTGAAAACAAAGACTATTATTATAAAAGCAGTGCTGTAGTTTTTCATTCTAGTGGAGCACATTTTCTCAGTGACTTCCTCGAAGTCTTTTCCCTCGAACGAAACCAAAGTCAAATGTGGGTGTACATGAATGGGGAGAGTCCAGTTAGAAGTCCAATTCATTATTTCTTAAAACGTCCTCTCTTCAACTGGACTATGACTTACAGGCTCGACTCTGACATTAAAGGTACTTATGCTCTTGTTTTCCCAGGACAGTTTAAGAGTGGCTTTGATCATCAAAGAAATTACCTTAAAGGAAAGACAATTGAAGTCAGTGCACTGATCAGCCATTGTGTGTATGATAGATTGAAAGCAGTGAGGAGTCTAATGAAATACATTGATGTTAACCTAATGGGAACTTGTAATGGCAAGTGGCTATCTGTTACTGAGAGTCATTCACAGATCAAGCACTCAAAATTTTTTTTGGCATTCGAGAACTCATTATGTGTAGACTATATCACTGAGAAAACTTATAGGAATGCATATACAAATGAAGCTGTTCCAGTCATACTATCAGGAGCTAATCTGTCTAATCCACTAATAGTACCACCGGGATCATACATTGATGCAAGCAAATTTAAAACTGCTAAAGAACTGGCCGATTATTTAAAGTATGTCGGAGAGAGTAAAGAGAGATACAATAAGTTTTTTGAATGGAGAAACAAATGGAATATTGATACAGACAGTTGGAATACAAGATGGTGTCATCTTTGTGAAAAAATACATAAAAATTCTAAATTAGATTCACAACAATATTATACAGATTTAAGTGGACTGTATGATAGAAAAAGAGAATGTAAACCATATATTAAATGGAATGACTAAATAATAACAATCATTACAGCTAACTTTGTTTTAACTTTTTGTTCATTGACCAACAACAACACTTACAGCAACACTTTTTAAAGATCCACATTGATGTTAATACAAAGCAACTAATAATGGCGTACACATCAATATTATAATATGCCATCCAATTCCATTTGTATTTTATAGGGGCTGGTATGAGATGGTCATATCCATAAGTGGCATAAAATTCAATGAGTTCAACTGCTTCATTTGTACCTCCTGCTCTCCTCATCAGTACACTCAGTAGACTTGCTTTCTTGTGATACTCATCTGTAGATTCAATCCTTTGAATGCTCTCCTTTATGGAGGAGGATGTCACTTGATGTGGTAGTAGTTGTATGCCCACACCAGCATCCTCAACCCTCACAGACCAGTCAAACTGGTCATTAACAAATGGTATCAAGATCCCAGGGACCCCATGATATAGAGCCTCATGGACACCATTGGCACCTCCATGGAGTATAGCCAAGAATATGGAGCTATGTTGTAGCAATGCTAACTGAGGTATCCAGGATGAGATGTGATATTTCTCAGGATGTAGTTTCACTACATTTGGAATGACATTCTTATTCAAGTCACTTAAAGACCATACAACAGAATAATTTGTGTCTTTGATGCCATCAATGAATGCATGGGCAAGATCAGTGCTTATGGAGACCAGTGAGCCCATACTAATGTATATGACACTTTTATTACTTTTAGTTTCCAACCATTTCCAAAGATGACTGTTAAATTCAAGTGAAGCATTAAGTAGATGTCGAGAGAGGAGCGGTCCAACATAATGAGTCATTGGTGAGAGAACTCGAGGATATTCAAGACCAAGTACTGTACTGACGAGTAATGGGACTTCCCATCCTGATTCTATGGGATACTTGAAATTATCAGAGCATAGTCTTTCAGTCGTTGAGGAACCCGAGATTATCCTTTTTAGTGAGACTGCATGCAAGAACCTGTGACCGACAGTGACTAAAAAACTTAAAAATCGTCCTTTGAATGTTAAGTTCTCTGAATGACCCGATTGGTAAGAAGGGAACGGCCAGGGAGGTGATTCCGTGTTATAAGAGTAATAGCTTGTAACAGTAACAACAGGAATCCCTTGACTTTTTGCAATACACGGAACACTTTGTAGTAATTCTTTCTCGGTGACAATCACATCCCATTGCTTCAAATCTTGTCTAATGAGGAATTCCACTATGGCGTCGAAACTCAACAATTTCCTTGACTCTGTCAATAGCTTAAAGTCAGCTAGTAGCGTAAAAGGACTCTGAGCAGACAATTCTATTCTCTTCAACACAAACTCTCGCCATTCCCCTTCCTCAGCATCATGTCTACCTGCTGACAAATAACTCATTCCTCTTTCAATCGCCTTATTTCTCATGTTGACCCAGTTATCCAATGACATGAACGTAACGTTATGACCTTTTCTTGCTAACTCCTCCCCAATTGATAAGACTCTAAAAGAATGACCAACAAAAGGTGTGGAGACTATCAGTACATCTAATGGAGAGCAATATATCCTCAGAAAAATAGAGAGAAAAATCAACGAAATTAATAACCATACCATTTTATCCTGCTGACCAAAAATAATCTAGAATTTAGAATTAATTCATATTGTTGTGGGTGGGGCTAGAACAATAATGTCTTCAGAGAGGCTAGAGAGATACGAAGAGAATTTAAAGTCTCAACTGAGAGACCTAGAAGCGCTCGTTTCCCACACACTACCTAGCTTAAGAGGAGGTAGGCTATTAGCTTGTGAATCATTAAGATAACCTTCCTATTTGTAGACGAACTGAGAAGATACGTGAGACAAGCTGAACACAAGTTGGAAGATGCTGAGAATGAAGTATTTTAATCAAATTTTGTGCTTTAAAGGTGTCATTTTATACCTTTGTAGTACAGTCAGTTACAGGTGGAACTTAAAAGAGCCCCTCGCTCGTTCCAACAAGAGTACAACCTTAGTATGGCACGTTATAAGAATGAACTCAACTCATTGAAAAGAAACCTGGTAGGAGGGAAATTAATATACGAATGTACCAATAAAATGGGAACTTTTCATAATTTTATTTAGATATCTTATTCTTCAAAATCAGCTCGTACTGAGCTACTATCTAGAGATGATGATTCCACATCATTTGGAGTAAGAATTCAAAACCAAGCATCTATAATATTTACTTTTTTATGTCAGGCAACAAACGATGGCTATGATCAAGTATTGAGGAACACTGAGGCTATGAAGAGGGCAACTTATAGCGTCCACAAGGCTCAAGAGATATCAGCTGAAACAGGTAAACCCTTGACATAATATGATATGCACTTTCTCTTATATTAGATCAAATTGCTGACAATATAGTTAATGAACTGGGAGAACAAAGACAGACATTATTGCGTACTAGAGATAGGGTGAGGCAATGGAGGTTTTTCATTCATTGCAGAGCCTGAAATTATATTCTAACAATGTTTAGTCATTGTGTCTGAATATTGTTCAATTTGATATGCCATTTTTATGAAGCAGTCTGATTATGAAAATAGCTATAAGTTGCTCAAAAACTGGGCCAAAGCCCCTGTACTATAGTACATGGTCTTTGACCAAATTTCATCAAAAATGACTAGGAGAGAATTTTTTATTTTTATAATTTTTTCTGATACATATGCATGTTCTTATGTTGTACATGGATTTGTTCTGTCTTATTTATCAATTAGGTGTCTGGTTTTGATGCTCAAATGAATCAGACTAGAAGTTTGCTTCGAAAAATTGCCTGCCAGTAAGAAATAAATAAAGATTATAACTGTGCTTGCCAATAGTGAAGCTTTTTGTGTTAATTATGTCTCACATGACTCATATTAACACTAGAGCACATAAATTTGTCATTCTCCTTTTCCTAGAACTGTTCAAAATCGATTTATTCTCATTGCTGTGATAATAGTGGAAGTATTAATACTGATTCTTGTCACATGGCTCAAGTTTTTCAAGAAATAATTAACAATAATAATTATAACTTGCTTCACTTTGTATGGTACTAACATTGTATTATCACCAAATTTTTAAATAATGATAATAATAATAAATTAATAATAATTATTATTATTTAAAAATATATAAATAATTTAAATAGTACCTATGATACCATCAATCAAAAAAATAATAATTCTTATTGACCATTTTTCTGCTTGGGTAAAACATTCTTTGCAAACCATGAAAATCCGAAACAAAGTCCCATTGATTTCTTCTTGCTTTCGTCTACAATAAATTCATCAATTGTACTGATAGGAATATCCAATACATCAATCATTTCCCCCTCATGTTGATTGCCCCCTCCACTCCCAACTATCATGTCATCAGTCACTTCGCAATAGAAGAGCGATTGCTTTGAGCCAGCCGTGCCTATGTTGCTCCAGAAACTCGTTATATACTGAAGGTTTTCCGTCTTGACTTGGTAGCCTGTTTCCTCTTGAACTTCCTCCCGAGCAATCTCTGCTAGTGGTATATCCTTGTCGACGATACCAGCACATAGTTCGTATGTCATTCCTTCACTTGATGGGCCGTATTTAGGTGCAGTTGCATCACTTTCAGGGCCAACCTGAGACTCTGATCCTTTGTCTGCCTTCATATTGAGTGATCCACTGGTAAATATCTCCGAGTTTTCCCAGACAGGGCGATTAGAAGACATGTACACAGCTGCAAAAAAACCGAGTCACTAAACTTGTGAAGTATGTTATATAAAATTACCTGGTCTGAACTGAGTTACGACAACTAATGCTTGTCTCGTTACATTATAAATCAGGATACCAACACTACAAAAAAAGCTTTTAAATCTCTCACACAGACATCATTGTACCTGTCATGCTGTCTCAGGCAGTCCCAGTACCTCTGTTTACCATTCTAAGAGGAAATGAATCATTATAAATGTGTTTAATAACATACAACACTTGTAGATGAGTCTGTTTGATAAAATAATCCCAAATTGATCTGATTTCATAGTATATAAAAAGTGTATGGTTTGTCTTACTTGTTTGTAAGACACTTGGTAGCACTGAATATACTTAGAATCTCTCAAAGGACCAATACTGACATCAGATATCCTATCCATCTCACCTTTTAATTGCTTCCAATACAAGCCCCTCCCACTGAGCTGAGTTTCCATAACGACCACACTCAAGTGACCAATGAAAGAGCAGGAATGTGACTCTCACGTGATCGTCCACATTTCTCATCCCCAAGAGAGAACTGAGCTAAAGAGTAGCTGCCATCTTTATCCTGACGACACACAGCGACCGGGACGGGTCCTCCTCACTAAGATGGCGTCTGATTCGGAACCGGAGATAAACGTGGAGGAGGTTGTGGAGAATATAGCCGTCTCGGGGTCCGTGGAAGATGGCGTGGAAGTTGAGACTATCCTCCAGGGCCAATCCGGCGGGCCAGGAGATCTCGACTATATTGTACAAGAAGAGGTCGAAACGACTACAGAGAATGTTTTAACTACTACAGAAGTCATAGATCCGGTGGATAACGTCATCATAGCTCTCCAGAACACGGACCAGCAAGATGACGGGATGCCAGGCGGTTCCTCTGCCGAGTACAACACTCCTAACGAGGAAGGAAGCGACCACGAGGTCATGTCCTCTAGGAAGAGACGCTCTGCTGCTTCCTCCTCTCGCTCCAACCCGAGGAAGAAGAGCCGGAAGGGACGAAAAGGTGCGAGATTCGTGTCGCGTCGTAACCCCATCCCACTTGCCACGTCACAGAGCGTCAAAGACTCGAAAGAAGCAAACGAAGCGAGTTTTGATCCAGCCAAGACCCCACGCCGGTGGTTGCAGCGTAAAGTGCCCATAAAAACGCTAGACGGAGGAGAGTTTTCCGTCAATATTTGGACTACAGGTACGTGTGGGCGGATCATGTGACACTTACCAATGCCTCTACTTATGTATGACAGCTGTCCTGATCCGCCCACGCATACCTATAGCCAGAGGGTTTATGTTCGTAATCCTCACACTTTATTTTAAAGCATATATGCGTGGGTGGGTCTTGTATTGCAAATATTAAATTTTATCAGTGATTTTTAATTTACAAAATAGCTTATGTGAATTCATACAGAAAAAGGTTTATAATCATCTTTTTGTTTGTGTTTTCTTTTTGTAGATCAACGAAAGCATCTCTCGGAACAAAAAGAACCTGATTTTTACGAGTACACAAGAGGGCGTAAGATACCCCCTGAGGGCATACCGGGGTTCGATTTCTCAGACCCTGAATCCATAGTAGAGTTTACTAAGTAAGTACTTGCATGATAGCTGCGTCATTTTTTGTATTCTCTCCAGGTCTACAAGAAAAATGAGACTCCAGAAGAAAGATGATGGAATGGATCGTACTATTCCCTGCCCTCACAAAGTAATTCTATCTTGAGGTTCTTTTGTCCTGAATAAAAATAACATCATTGTTATTATTATTACATTGTGTGGACCATTGCCCTCTTTTGTTCATTACTTTCTAATTCATTTCTTTCCTTCCCTTTTATTGTCTTTAGGGTTGCAATAAGTTATTCCGTGACAATGCTGCCATGAGGAAGCACCTTCATACTCACGGTCCCAGAGTCCACGTGTGTGCTGAGTGTGGCAAAGCTTTTGTGGAGAGCTCTAAACTCAAGAGACATCAACTGGTCCACACAGGAGAGAAACCATTTCAAGTAAGTATGTGCAATGTGTCTATAGGTAGTCACTGGAGTTCCCAGATTAGCACCGCAGCTGAAGGAGCATGTGTTAATGCAATTTTTATTACATTATGTCACTCTAATTCCAAATGACTACAAGTGAAAGGGAATTATGTGATATCACTTCTTTTAATGTTCCTATAGTCTTTAGGACAGTCTTTATTAGTAGTTATTACGCATAATCTTTTTCTCTTTTATCTTCTTAGTGTACATTTGAGGGCTGTGGTAAGAGGTTCTCTCTTGATTTCAACCTGAGGACTCACATTAGGATTCACACTGGCGATCGTCCCTACGTGTGCCCGTTTGATGGTTGCAACAAGCGCTTTGCCCAATCAACGAATCTCAAGTCACACATGCTCTCACATGCCAAGCAGGCAAGAAATCAGGTATTTATGAAGTTGTATGCATAATATGTAGCATTTAAAAAAAACGTGCATGTTCATGTATATTTAATAGAATGAATGTCAAATTTCCTTTTTCACTTTTTTAGACTAAAGGTAGCCCTCCTGCTTCATCTGTTCTCTCTGCTTCCCCAACTCCATTGTCTATTGCTGTATCTCCTGTCAAGTCTTTCATTACAGCTGTCACTGCCGCTCCCATTGCTGGAGCCAAGATACCCCTCTCCGGTGGACATTTGACCATCTCTACAATCGGAGGTATGTCATAGAAACAATTATACTAATGTTGAAAATATTAACTATTTAAAATCCTCTTTTGCCCTACAGGTGGCTTAGTGCAGCTTCCATTCACTACAGTGACAACACAAGATGTCAGTCCTGATCCTCAAGAGCTCACATTAGACACTTCTTCATCAGGTGAAATGGCTATACAAGCTCTTGACATAAGTACGAATTTACCAAGTACTCTGGCCGAGGGTCTCTCAGCTGCAGGGACTTTGGACTCGATCCTTGAGCCAATTGGGGTCAGCAGCACAACTCCATCAACTGAGAATGTGGTTGAATCAAAGATTGACATAATTTCATAGTTTGTTGTGATGCTATTGTCTCATGCTCTCTCTTCTCAAAATAATGACACCCTAATGCATCAGTACACACTCACACACACACACACACACACACTTATACTGTACACCATCACAATGTATCTTTCACTGTCTCTCCTTTCTCATTCTTGTAATACCAACTTTGAATTTTTGGAAAAAATTTATACTTCAAAATTGAATGATCAAGATTATTTTTAGTGCACATGCGCAGAATGTTTTTTCACATCTAATCTTACAACACATTTTCATTCCAACCACCTGATTTGTATAAACTCGGATACTTTGTCAACAGAAGATCTTCTCAACCTGTTCACTACAGATCACATTTTTAACATTAAATCTGTTTTTATTAACTATTAATTAATTAAGGCGTGGTTTATATAGTTTAAGGCGTGGTCTGATTTCGCAGACTGGACTAATGCGCATGCTCAGAAAACTAATGGGCGGTTAAGCAATAATTTTAATTTTTATACAAACTCAAAATGGCAGCTAACAAGTAAGTTTCTCTCGGTTTCTTTTATTATTCTTGATTTTTATAGTCAAGTGCCATCAAAGCAGCTAATAATGTATCCAAAGCACCTCGTTTATCCGGACGGGGTGGATGCTAAACGTGATGTATGCCTGGAAGAGTTGAGGGCATCCCGTACAAGATATTGCCCCTCGCCATCTCCTGATTGTGACATGGACATGACTGAGGCGTACTGTGGTAATATTACGGTCAACGTCCCCGTGGTGGCCTCCATGGAGAAGGGACGTGAAGTCTTACACTTGATGGAGCATAAACCTGAAAAACTATTAGGTGAGGCAGAACCCTCTAATATTAGGTATATATTATGTTCTGTTATACATTGACGCCCCTCTCTCTCAGTGTTATCAAAGGAAGAGCCAGGTGGAAACATGACTCGTGAGCTTCAAGAAAAGGAAAACTTACCTGTCAGCCTCAATCAGTTTGATTTTACACCAAGTGCATCTGAATCATACAGGTATACTGTTGATCAGAGTATAGAATTGATTCTTAATTAATTTTCTTATTATATTACATACATGTACATGCCCTTTTGTGTTAAACTGTAAATGATAATGTAATTAATAATGTGTACATGTATAATGTGATTATTATATAAAGGTCTTCTTTTTATTACAGCCATCAGTACAGTTATAATGGAGCCTCCTTCTCCATGAAAGGTGCTCTTAGTTTTAGTGAATCGGACAGTCTGGTGAGCTCTGCATGCCAGTCAGAGGAAGAGGCGAAGATGTTTAAAGAGAAGACCGTTCTAAAACAAGAGAGACATTCTGATCAAGTCCATCAGTCGTTGCAGTGAGACCAGTTATTTAAATGATGAGAGTTTTTAGTGTTTGGTTTTTTTACAGGTACACGCATAGTTCTGAGTCTCTTTATGCTAATAATAAGCTGCCATGGTAAAAATTACACATGTTTTTTTTTTCAATTTTTTTCATGTTGTTATATTATAGTCCTAAGACAAAACCAGTGTCACAACTAAGTCGTACATTGGAAACAGATATTGGCACCAGTTCAGTACCAATATCATCAATGTGAGACTAATAGTAATATTTTACCTCCATTCATTTCATTTATTATCATTTTGTTTATACTATTTTTCATTTATTTCTTTATATAGTGCTGTGTCACAAGAGGGCAGATTGGATTCTTTTTCTGTATATAATGATAGTCAAGTATCCATTAACCAGCCTGCAGCAGGGTAACAGATATTTACATGTCTCTCTCTAATTGTTATGTTTTATTATATTCAGACAATCTACAAGGCCTCCATTACAAGTATTACCTCAAGAAAAATCTTTGACCTCATTTAGTGTTTATGAAGAAGCATCCATTAACCAGCCATCTTTCAAGTAATAAACATAATTTTTGTCTTCATTCATTTTCTTTATAGGCAATCTGTTCCTTCTGCAAGGCCTCCATTACAAGTATTACCTCAGGATAAATCTTTGACATCATTTAGTGTTTATGAAGAAGCCTCCATTAACCAGCCATCTTTCAAGTAATAAACATAATTTTTGTCTTCATTCATTTTTTATAGGCAATCAGCTCCTTCTGCAAGGCCTCCATTACAAGTATTACCTCAGGATAAATCTTTGACCTCATTTAGTGTTTATGAAGAAGCATCCATTAATCAGCCATCTTTTAAGTAATGAACATAATTCTTGTCTTCATTCATTTCTTGATAGGCAGTCTGCTCCTTCTGCAAGGCCTCCATTACAAGTATTACCTCAGGATAAATCTTTGACCTCATTTAGTGTTTATGAAGAAGCATCCATTAACCAGCCATCTTTCAAGTAATAAACATTATTTTTGTCTTCATTCATTATCTTTATAGGCAATCTGCTCCTTCTGCAAGGCCTCCATTACAAGTATTACCTCAGGATAAATCTTTGACCTCATTTAGTGTTTATGAAGAAGCATCCATTAACCAGCCATCTTTCAAGTAATAAACATTATTTTTGTCTTCATTCATTATCTTTATAGGCAATCTGCTCCTTCTGCAAGGCCTCCATTACAAGTATTACCTCAGGATAAATCTTTGACATCATTTAGTGTTTATGAAGAAGCCTCTATTAACCAGCCATCTTTCAAGTAATGATTGTACATAATTCTTGTCTTTATTCATTTTCTTGATAGACAATCAGCTCCTTCTGCAAGGCCTCCATTACAAGTATTACCTCAGGATAAATCTCTGACCTCTTTTAGTGTTTATGAAGAAACATCCATTAACCAGCCATCTTTCAAGTAATAAACATAATTCTTGTCTTCATTCATTTCTTTATAGACAATCAGCTCCTGCAAGGCCTCCATTACAAGTATTACCTCAGGATAAATCAATGGGTTCATTTAGTGTTTATGAAGAAGCCTCCATTAACCAGCCTTCCTTCAAGTAATCAGTAAAATTTTCTTCTTCATTCTTTTTCTTTTCCAGACAATCTGCTCCTCCTGCAAAGCCTCCATTACAAGTATTACCTCAGGATAAATCTCTGACCTCATTTAGTGTTTATGAAGAAGCCTCTATTAACCAGCCATCTTTCAAGTAATGATTGTACATAATTCTTGTCTTCATTCATTCCTTGATAGGCAATCAGCTCCTCCTGCAAGGCCTCCATTACAAGTATTACCTCAAGATAAAAGTGTTTATGATGAAGCTTCCATTAGCCATCCTTCACAGTATGCATTATTTTCTGACATTATATATCCTTGAAAATTACCATTAGGCCACAAACTGCTTCTTCCAACACAATGCCAATGAAAGTATTAAATTGTGCACCATCTTTGTCAAGTGTTCCTCTAACTACATCTGATGCCTCGTAAGTGACTGCTTTTAAAATAATTATTTATTGAGTATAGTATCCCTTTCTTTTCCTTATTTGTGAGCTTAATAATAGAGATTTAATTTGCTTATTATTATTATTATTGATATTTTTATTTCTCTCCTTTCAGATCTCATTGTCTCGCATCAATAGAGAAACTTTCTCTATCTCAAAAAGCTCCCGTCACTATCTCTACCTCTCTTCACTCGCATAACTTCCCAGTACCGTCTTCAATTACTAACCAAGAGCAGCCATTACCTAATATCACCAACCCTGTATCCTCTACTCATTCCTTGCCAGTTCCTTTCTCTATAAATAATCCTCTCCCTCCTCCACTTGATGCTCTCCCTGTACCACAGAGTGTTACTACTCCACCTACTAATGAACAAGAGGCTGAAAGCATCTCACCTGAAAGTGGCACTCATTCTCACCCTCTGGTTAATGAGACTATTGATCCTAGTTTCTTTATACCTGGGTACCTCTCTGATGATCCTACTAGCACACCGTGTGGTGGTAGGAGAGTAGGTCAGTCAATTGGAGTAATATTATTGTAAAAGTAGTGAGGGATATCTAAGTGTGATCATTAAAATTATAACTTATGTCATTGCTAAAATTAAAATAAAAATGCTAATGTATATCAAAATGTGAAATAAATATATTTGCATGCAATCAAAAGTAGATATAGACTTTACTATTAAGCATACATGTTCTTCTAATATTGTGTAGGTTTGGCTCCATTTGACGTGACAGCTATTCAGTCCTACTCGCCTCAGAGCAGCAACACCAAACCTCTCCCTCCTCCTCCTCCTCTTCCTGTACCCTCACTCCCTCCCCCTCCTCCTCCTCCTCCTCCTTCGCAGCCCCTCCCACAAACAGACCCCGCCCCTCCTATTATGCAGCCGTACAGTTTCAGAGGTCAGCACTTAGACCCGATACAAGAAGAGTCTCGTAGCTATTGCAGCAGCTCCTCGGGCAGCACCACGACTTGTAGCAGTAAGAACTTATCAACTCATTCTAATGCCAGCAGGTCAGCTAATATCAGCCAACAGTCCCAGCACAATGAAGATGAAGAACCACCTGGTAAGATACTACTGCAGTCTTCTCTTCCTTTCCCTCTCTATCAGTGATTTATCATTAATACAGAGGAGGGGTTGCCTTTGCTGTATCTATTATGCACTGATTTGCTCTGTCTATTATTTAGAATATTAATATACTTATGCTGGTACATGTACACGTATATGCTACTCTTTCTGTCATTCTTTTTATTGTAGAGGTTCAAGACTTACGATCGCTAGGTGTCATGAATTTAAAGCGACAGGTAAACCCGTTCACTCCAGAGACGATCCAGTTTATGCTCCAGTCTTTACCAATCACTGTTACCCCTGTTCACCGACTGCCGAAGTCTTCTCCGAGTATGACAACGGGTCACACTGTTACACTAGCCGATGGATCGTCTTGTAGTGTCATTGGTAAACTGGCCAAGGGAGGATTTGCCTCCGTTTATAATGTTAAGATGATGAATGGAAGTACAAAAGCGCTCAAGGTGCAGTAGGTCTATTATTAATGCCCAATGCAAGAAATATTTTATTTTAGCATCAAAGTGCAGGATCTTGAACATTTTGAATTTTTATTTTTATTTTAGATTCAAAACCCTCCCTGTTTGTGGGAAGTTGCCATTATCGAAGAGCTTCACAAAAGACTAAAGGCAAACGATCTTCTTAAGTTTGTATGTCACACTGGGCCTACACTAGCTGCAGTCTGGTTTTAAGTTGTTGTGTTTTTTTTCTTTTTCTAGTCTCAATGTTTCATGAGTGTTGATGCTGTTCATTTGTATACTAATTCCAGCATAATTGCTTACAATTATTATCCACACGGAACTCTATTGGTAATAATAAATGTTTTTGTATAGCATGACGACATTAATGTCCATCAGAAAATATAATAAACATTAGGGGTAATGTTGAGGCCATTTTTTGGATAAAACCATGGGCTATAGTACAGGGAATTTTTCAGATTTTGGCAAATTTCTTTAAATGGCCATAACTCAAAAATTTGAGCTTGGAATCGGTTCAAACTTTCTACATAGCATAAGGACATCAATATACATCAGAAAATATAATAAAAATTGGGGGTGATTTCGGAGCCATTTTTTGAAAAAAACCATGGGCTATAGTACAGGGTATTTTTCAGATTTTGGCCGATTTCTTTAAATGGCCATAACTCGAAATTTTTTTATCGGAATCAGCTCAAACTTTTTACATAGCATAAGGACATCAATATACATCAGAAAATATAATAAAAATTGGGGGTGATTTTGGAGCCATTTTTTTGAAAAAAAAACCATGGACTATAGTCATTGATAGTATACACAGAACTGTTAACTTTATCATTCTCATTCTACTATACATGCACATGTAGGATTTAGTCAATACATGTCGGACAACGAGCAAGAAGCTAACAGAGGCAGTCTTACTTTATTATACAACAGAGATATGCCAACTGGTTGAAGCACTACACTGCTGTGGCATCATTCATGCTGACATTAAACCAGACAACATCATGCTAAGAGATATTAGGTAGGCCTAAACGCTATCACATTAAATTAAATTTATGATTAATAATTATTGAATATTGTAGACCTATTACTGATTATACATCAATAAGAGGGCGTGGTGTTTGTCTCTTGGACTTTGGTCGTGCTATTGATGCCCAATCATTCCCACGTGGTACTCAGTTCGTTGGTTCCTGTGGTACGGACTCATTTCAATGCATCCAGATGCTTAATAATGAGCCATGGAGCTGGCATGTGAGAAAAAAATAACAACTACTACTGCTAATAATAATATATTAATATATATATTTTTTGATTTCATGATGTTTTATTAATTTTTATTGTATTTTCCACAGACTGATCTTCATTGCATTGCTGGTACAGTTCACGTTTTGCTGCACTTGGACTATATGGAGGTCATCAAGAATGCCATGACTGGAGAATATGTACCAAGCAAATCTCTGCCCAGGTCTGACAGAGTAGAAAGAGATATTTGTATAATTATTTTTGTAAAACTTACTCCATTTTATTGTATACCAATTTTTTATTGTGTAGAAACTATGATCGTGTTTTGTGGATGAAGTTTTTTACCGATCTCTTAAACTGGTCTGGCGAGGGACAGCCTGACATGAAGGCTCTTACTCAACCTTTATCGAGGAAACTTTCCCTTAATGTTAGCCACCTCAAGCTTAACCTCAACTACATGTGGACACAGATGGAAAGACAGAGAGGATTTCCCAAATGAACTAATTCCTCTTTATTATAATAATAGACTATAATGATAGTTTTAGGACAAAATAACACTATCACATAAGTGTCTTGCATGTTTGTAATTGTTTATACAACCAAATGAAAAGATTAATGATTTAGAATAAATTTAACAGCTTTTATTATAGGCTCAATACAGCAATACTCAGAGTGATGAAAGTCAGAGATTTAGCTCAGTCTGTACTATAACAGTGACCTTTTAGCTAAACTCTTCATTGTATCATGAGTATTGGTAATGATTGATCTACTAATTATTATTATTCACTATTGTGAGATGCTGTTCTTAAGGCGAGTTGTACTGCAGCTTTGATTTTATTCTTTTTAAATTCATTGTCAACAAATCCATCCCCATCCTATAGAGGAAATACAAATATAATATCTAGAACTTATCCACCATTATAGATCTACTACTGCTTCAAAAACCTTTTTTGAATGAATAATTCTTCCATTCACTTCTACTTCAAAGAGATTTGTGATTGTGGCGGTGTTTTCACCTATCTATAAACGTGATTTTCACATCATCTAGCTTTTAACTATGATACTAACTACTTGGATTGTCCCCTTTGCAAAGTATGGTTCAATATACTTTTGAAAGTCGTTGAACTATGCAGTGATAAAAAATCACTAACATTGCGTTTTTAAATACTCACCCTTTTGCTGTATCCTCATCCACCACTGAGAAATAGAAAAAATAATAATAATTATTATTATTAGCAAAAAAAGAACTCACCAAAAGGTCACTTTGATTTTCACTGCAGGCTTGTTCTCATCCATGCATAAGGTGACAAGTTTGTAGTATCCTAGCAACTGTACTGCATCTGTAATATACATGCTTAGGATCACGTGATCGCATATTTTGTAATAATTTTACAGCAACTTGCTACTTGCATTTTTTCAGTTTTGACCCTCCAAGTCCTCAACAGCTGCGAACAAGTACTATAGAAACACCTTTTTGTCATGGTTGTTCTAGTAAAAGTCGTTTATTGGTGAGTAAACCACTGATTAGCGATGAATAAGAATGTCTGAATGATGACTCCATTTATTAGTCTGGCTCATTTGCCAGACTAGACTCTATATATATTATGATTTCTTTCTTTCCTCTAGTGGTGGATGAGGCTACAAAGGCCGGGTAAGATACATAACATAGCCTTTCTTTATCTCCTTTCTTCTTTTATATTCAAACTCTCTTTACAGGTGGACAGGCTGAAGACTGAGTTGTCCAAGAAGTACGGGTCTGGTATCAAATTTGTGAGTTTTTTCCCCCAATCCTATTTATAACTTGTCATCCCATACGTGTAGGAGGAAGAGAGGACGCCAAACATTTCGGGAAAGTTTGAAGTTTTTGTCAACGAGGCACTAATCCATTCTAAAATAGTCAGTTATAATATTATGTTTTTAGTTGAAGTGAAACTACAAAAACTTGTTATAATTCATGTACATGTACTTTTATTTACGTACTACATGTGCATGTTAAAATGCTCGCATGTGTCTTTACTTCTTTTGTTGTTAATTCTTTGTAGGATGGTAATGGATTTGTTGACAGTGATGAAAAGATGGCCAAGATCACCAGTGCCATTGATAAAGCCAGCTCATGAAGTGGGCCTTATGTAGAGTTGTAGGTATGCCTTAAAGAATGATAATAATAACAATGATGGTTTTATTATTTTTTTCCTTTCTAGTATGATGCTTGTTTGGTATTTCTTGTGTATTCAGTCATGAAGGGATAGCCTTAAAGGTTAACCCCTGGCTTATCCCCGATGCTTAATCTGAGTCCACAAGAATATGCCACCATGATTACTACGACTAAACTAACTCTATCATTATTATTATTTATTAATGTGATTGCAGTAGCTAATCTTTCATTGATAAAAACTGTTAGTTAAAAAAATTTTTTGTCATTAGCCACAGAGTAGCAGCATGAAATATGCCAAGAAAACTGTATTGAGTTGCAATGCATGTGCTTCACTTTCATAATAATAACAATAATATTTATTTAATAATTATTATTCAGTGTGTGTGTGTGTGTGTACATTATAATGCTTATATATAACAATAATCAAATGAAATCTGATTTGAAGTTTATAGTTTACAGAAAGAGAGGGCAATTAGGATAAACAAGACAAAAGACGGAGAGAAAGAGTGAGAGAGGAAAGGGGAGCAGCTTGTTCTGATTATCTGTTTTGCAAGTGTAAAGTCTGAACCAATTCTTGTAGTTTTTGTTGTTGAGTTGGCGACAGCTGAGAAGCGCTCTCCTGCAGACTGGGACCAAGACACAACTGAAGTACCTCAGTGAGTCTCAGTATAGCTTGCTTAGCTTCTCCTGTCGCTGGAGAACGAGAGGATAGGACCTTCCACAGGACCGGGAGACCAATACGCTGGACTAAACCGGGCTTCTGGCCATACACGTATGGAATTAAATCTAAAAAATGTTACAAATGAATTACTTTATTTCTTTGTTTGCAAACACATCAAGAAATATGTGTACATGTACATGTATGAGTATATGTAAATGATAACTTTGTACATGTAGATGCACATCCACATCAACAAAAGTGTTTATACAGTAGCTGCCTTTTTAGGTGCATAACACAAAGTGTTAATTCTGAAGCTCAAGGCGTGATTTATAGTAGGTGGGTTTAAGTCTTAAATTAGCAGTCCCTTACACTAATAGTGCAAGGAAGCCAGCAATGAGGTGTGAGAAATAATTAATAAGAGGATTTACTAATACTGGACTAGTCACCTGATAATTTCTTGAGCATTATAGGCTGGACTCTTGCATTGCCATTCTGTGCTGCCGAGGCAAGTGGGGGAAATAACAATGTACAATCTACAGAAAAATACATTATACATGTAAATGTATATGTATACACCATTACATGTATGTACGCAATACATTGTACATGTACATGCATACAGTACATGTATGGGTATATATTATTATTATGTACACACATTATGCTTTAAATGCTGCAATAGTAACAAAACCAGTGCTCTTTATTCTTACCAACAGTCTGCATGAGTGAATCAATGGCATTGAGAGCAGCAGAGTGTATAGCTGGATATCTTGAAGCCACAGTCCCTGATAGAGCCTCCACTAGTGTTGGTAGCACTGGGGAAAGCTGCTGGTTAAGGATTGGGACTAATCTCTGGAATGCTTGCAAAGCGTGAAGGTTGACCTTACTGTTCTTATCACTTAGTCTCTCATTGAATACATCAAACACCTAGCAAGAAAGTTGCATATAGTGATAAAGTTATGCTAATAGTCACATTAATGAACATGTACGTGTATGTACATGTACATGTAACTGTAGCATAAGGAGATCAATATGCATGAAGATTAAGAAACCTTCTCTTTCTCTCTCCTATTTCTCTCACTTTAACTAGATTGGATCCCAGGCTATTAGGATGAGTAATAATGTACTGCTCTAGCTCATTGATGGCCTCTTGTCTCTCCTTCCAATCAGTTGCTTTCATTTTGCTCACAATATCCAGGACTGCACTCGAGTCGGGCGGAGGGGCACTTGTTGGCGGGAGGACTCCGCCCGGCTCTATGAGTACTTGACCACTCCCACCATTACCAGGAAGTCCAGATATTGAGCTCCGCCTCTTTTTGACTTTAGGTGGAGACTGGCCTTTACCAGGTGAGGACGCGCCGGCTGAAGAATATTGAGAGACTGAGAGACGAGCCGTCGCCTTTGCTGACTGAGAGTCTGTAGGAGGTTTACCTAAACCCTATAAATGGATATATGCATTATGAGTAAGGAATAGAATTCAAGGTACATGTATATTATGTGTGTATAGCCGTAATTAAAAAATTTTCAGTCGGAATCAGCTCAAACTTTTTACATAGCATAAGGACATCAATATGTATCAGAAAATATAATAAAAATTGGGGGTGATTTCGGATCCATTTTTTGGAAAAAACCATGGGCTATAGTACAGGGTATTTTTCAGATTTTGGCCGATTTTTTAAAATGGTCATAACTTTAAAAATTTAAGTCAGAATCAGCTCAAACTTTCTACACAGCATAAGTACATCAATATGTATCAAAAAATATAATAAAAATTGGGGTGATTTCGGAGCCATTTTTTGGAAAAAACCATGAGCTATAGTACAGGGAATTTTTCAGATTTTGGCCAATTTTTTAAAATGGTCATAACTTTAAAAATTTTTGTCGGAATCAATTCAAACTTTCTACACAGCATAAGGACATCAATATGCATCAAAAAATATAATAAAAATTGGAGGTAATTTTGGAGCCATTTTTTGGAAAAAAACCATGGGCTATAGTACAGAGAATTTTTCAGATTTTGGCCAATTTTTTAAAATGGTCATAACTCAAAAAATTGAAGTTGGAATCAGCTCAAACTTTCTGAACAGCATAAGGACATCAATATGTATCAGCAGTAAAATTTTGAGCCATTCAAAAAGCAGTGATGTACATGTACTACATTAATGAATCCATTACATGTACAGTACATGTACCTTGACTTTAATGTGTTCAGCTGTTTCCTTAATCTTTGCATATTGATGATCATTAAGTGCCTTCCTTGCCAGCTCATCAAACTCTGGACAAGAGTAGAGCATATTGAGCATCTTACGTGCCTGATACCTAAAACATAATCACATTAATATCTGCTCAGTGTTAAAAACAAGTACATATAATGCATAATACATGTATGTACATGTACATGTACATGCTACTAATGCTTTGTCATTATACCTACCTAGCCAGTGGGTCAGCATCTCCCAGAAGGATCGCTGTTGCATTTATAACTCTATCTAGCACGTCACGAGGTAGTCTCACTATCTTAGCTGCTCCATGAACCTCCACAGTAACACACATAAACTGTGCCACTTGTCTACGGATTAGTTGGCTCCCGTGGCTGAGTCCACCATTCATCAGTCCCTGGAGACATTTTGCAGGTGATACACTGTTGCATGCTAAGTATAGTGCTTTCTCTGTGTCCTCGCGATAGAAGTTATTTGATTTTGAGCCAACATGGAGTAGTGTCTTAAGAAGAGCATCTAGTGACTGTGACAATAGATTTAAATTAAATATTATTACTTTGTGCAATGGTGTAAAGGTCTTACTATTTCCATTTCTTTTGCTAAGTATCCAAACATGTCACCAAGGCAAGCAATAGCACTCCTTGCTACTTGAGATCTTAGATTTTTCACCTAAAAATCAACAAGAGTAGATAATGTAGGGAGAGTATATAACTGTATTATCTACTCTTGAAAGCAATAATACAACAATAATTAGCTATAGTGCTGAGAATAATTATTGTATAATTTATTCTTAAAGGACAAGAGTTCATTGATCATCTCTCATAACAATGAGAGGATCTTTTGCAACTTGTACACACGCACTAATTCCCTCAAGAGCATTTATTGTGTCTTTATGAAATAATGATAATTTGAATCATAAAATAAACCCTTCGGGTCACTACCTACTTCCCACCATTGAACATGTATGCATGTACATGTACAATTTTAAAAAATTAAATTGTACAAAAGTCCATAATACTACATGTACATGTTCATGCACTCTTCTATACATGTACTATACAAGTGTGTGTATAACTTTGTATGTACATGTACCTCTTTCTCCACAGCTATGAGAACAGTGTGTAGCTGTGGTATAATGATGGGCTTATGCCAGGCAGAGAGTCGCCTCAATACAAGCAAAGCCTCGCGTTTCTCTTCCCACTCCTCGGTCCCTTTCCTCAGTCCTTCCAGTGCTTGTCTCATTGCATTCTCTGGATATACTAAAGGAGAGAGCTCTTGCAGTCTTGCATCAGTCTCTGAAGCCTCTTCCTCAACAAGAGGTTCTTGAGAGCCGAGTCTATAGACAGGAGCTGAGTTACTAGTGCTGTTAGCCTGAGATATACTGGTGCTGGATTTCTGGGGAGCACTCGCAGCTTTGGTCGGACTTATTTTCTTAATTGTACGCCCGCCGGGAGGAACCGGATTCATCTTAAGCTTAGGAGGACTTATAAACTCTGGGTTAGCCTCAAGATCGTGTACAAAGGGTAAATCAGGCGATCCCTCTCCCTCCTCGTCCATCCTCTCCTGATGATACTTCCGAGGAGGAGTCTTAAACATCTTGAGAGGTGTCTTCTTCATTGGACTCTGTTTCTTATGCAACTCACTGGGTCTTGATTGAAAGGATGGGTCACTCTCTCTTCGGGGGATTGTTCCTCCTCCTCCATTTCTCCTTGCTCCCCCGACCTTCCCTCCTTCTCCCCCTCCTGAGAGTCTCTGCTGCTGCCCTTGCTGCTTATTGGGAGAGGTTAGGAAGGAATTGGCTTCCATTGGAGCGTTCTTGTCTTTCAGAGGTCTCTCTCTCTTTAGAGCAACAGGGGCTGATACAGTCCTAAGAAGAAAGGTAGAGAAAGAAAATGAAGAACATGTAGAATTACAGGCAGGAAATAGAAGAGAGTACAGAGTTAGATATTAATTTTGAGGAAGAATTAAAGTCAAAATGCAACACAATGTGCATTAGTAATTTAGTATAAACATACTCAAACTCCATTCTTCCATTAATCATAAATTGCTTGTGCATTCTTGGTGGAGTGCTTGTTGGAGATGTTGAGGCAGAGCACTGGACTGATAATATCTCTGCCTTCCAATCCGCAGCTTTCTTACGTATTTGACTCAAAGAATCAACAGTTGGCTATAAAAAAAAGAGAATGTACATATACATGTACATGTAGATGTAGCTAGAAAACGCTTACCGTTCTTTCTCCTGAGGCGGTGGCCGACTGCATGTCTCTGTTAAAAAGGAGTGATGTTAGAGATGAGCTGAGACTGTTATTCAACTGTGAGTCATCAACCGGGATATTGTAATAATCATCATCATCATTACCGCCAATTAGGAAACTCTACATGCAAAATAACAAGAAAATTATTGGTAATAAAGAACATAGACATTTCCATGTAAAGTGCATATACGTGTGCATGCATTAGTGTTAGTGCTATACTTTTATAACAGTATTACATACATTAGTCTTATATACATCTACTGTAGGTATTTATCAATTTGCTAAAGATTAGTGTTGCAAGCATTAATGAACATGGAGAGAGTGAAGTTTCATATACCTCTTCAATATGTGTTGGACTGTCTGGTGGTATCCCGTTAGCCAGTGAGGCGTGAATTGGGAAGGAGGGAGGTGGGGGTGAGTGAGATGAAAGAGGAGGAGGTTGGGGGTGAAACGGAAGTGGATTACGGACAATCGGTTTAGACGATGGCCGAGCATCAATAGCTGGCAATTTAGACGGACCAAGTAAATTGCCTAATAATCGATAATGAAGCTGTGAATATCAATGGGATGTAGTGAATACTTTATACATGTAAGATGGGATGGTTCAACAATATTTATCATCAGGAGTGGTATTTATGGCTATTCATGATGGTGTTGGACAATAACAAGTAGCATAATGTACATGTACATGTACATGTACAGACTGTGTGTGTAGGAATGGGCTGGTAATATGATATGATAAAGTTTGTATAGTACATATGGCACATGAGCTTTTGATAAGTAATAAGTACATGTACACTGTATGAAGTAATGCTACAGTCACCAAGCAGACTAAATTAATACACATTTTTGAACACTAAAACATTCTTTTATCTGTACAATACAGTGCCCACATTGCATTCTTTATATTACACTTTTAGGTATTACTATAAGGAATCAGTCATTACCTGATAGGCCAGTGTTATCTGCTGATATCTGTCTTGCTGTGCTACCTTTAGTAAAGTGATTGTTACCATAAGATCCATTTTGACGTGGCCAAGTAGTAGAGAGAGATGAAGACCCAGGTATTCCCTTAGACCCAGGACCATTGCCTCCTCCACTGACAGTAGACCCTCCAGTGTACACTACCCTGGAGTGCTTCATTGGTCCAATGGACGATGGCTGGAAGGAACGGGAGTCTCCATTACCAGTTTCATTGCTTGTCCTATAAATATCAGAGTATCCTTTAGATGCCTTGTTACTTGCTCCTGTTACTCCTCCTCCACCTCCTAATGTTGATGACTGGCCTACTGGTAAACTAGAGCTAGCTGTCACTTGCTGCTTCAGTGCTAAAGATGCATATCCACCAGTAGTACCTGTGGACTGTGGCATGTGTTAAAAATTGAGAATATCAATAATTCACACGAAATCAATAATGAGCAAGTGCTAATTTGCCCAAACTTTATATCACCTCCATTGAGGTATGACACCTTTCCCGATAGCCACAAGCTCAAGGGGAGAATATAAAAATTCATGCAACCACATAAAAGGATTGGCCTATTGTGCTGGAATGATGCACAATCACTCGAGTGTATCACCAGGTCGAGTGTCTCGAAGACTCAACAAGTGCTAATACTTTCATACCATACAAGGCACACACTAAACGTGGTATGTGGACTCTGTCTCGTGTACACTTGCCATTAATAGATACAGGCTCTCACACATCTATAAGCAGATTTGAATGTACATGTAATAATATGCAAGCTGATGTACTACATAATCATATATACATGTACATGTACATGTATAGTATTATAGATACATGTACTTAAGTAAAAATGTACAATTGTTTTATAACTAAGTGCGTACAATGCAGGTATACTTACTTTAGCAGGTTCGCTATCCCAAGGTAGTTTCTTCCCTGCGCTCTTTAGAGGGCCACTGGTCGATTGGCTACGAGAGTTAGCTGACAATGTGCTACTTTTACCATCCAGTATCCAGTTAACATCAGCTCCTGTCAATTGTCTGTCTCCTCCAGGGGCAGCCCGACCATTAGATACATTCACTACATGATTGACGAGCCCGTCCTCGTTGAGGTGAGGGAGTTTCTTGCGGGAGAGTCTACTCTGAAATGCGACGTGAAGGTTCTCAGTATTCGTGTTAGTCATGATTCGCTGTAAGCTGAGAACTGCAGTCAGTAAAATGTGCATCTGCTCTCTTCCAAGTCTGTCAGCAAGCACAGCGCAAGCTTCAAGACAAGCCTGTCTGACCGTTTGCTTAGTATCAATAAGTAGCGGAGTGACTTGCTCTACAAGGCTGGCTAGAGAGAACTCAGAGCTAGGGAATGTGAGGAGTGAAGCAATGACAATATTAAGAGTCTCTTCACGGACTTTGCCTTGCTTGTGTCTGCTCCCGAAATTTATTATTTCATTGATGACCGGAGAAGGTGAGAGGACCGTCATGAGATGAAGCAGGACTTTCATTCCAGTTTGTTTGACCATGTACTTGTGTGTGCCAACTTTGTCGAGGTAGTGAGAGAGGAGCATGGGAAGAAAGGGGAGTATGGCAGAGCCAGTTTTGCTAACGAGATCGTCGACTAGTTGAAGTGTCGTTAGAACAATCTTGAAATTTCCGTCATTCAGTGAAGGAGTGACGAGTGACACAATTTCTTGGAGACTTTCGACAAGTATGGCTTTGTCCTTTGTATCACGGAGGGTTCCGTGTATGGAGTTAATGGCTGCCTTCCTTGTCTCTACACTGGATTGATCACGTATGTCTGCTACAATCCTCTGAGGAAAGAGACCAAGATACAGCGAAGGAGGAGGTGAGGAAGACAAGAACTGAGGATTAGGATTGCTACTTTTCCTACCATTAATGTAGAGAAAGGGAGGGGAAGGCGACTGGAGGTTGCTTGTTCTGCAGTCTTGTTGCTGCAAGCCAGAGAATGCACTGTAGTCAGTTGATCCATTCATGATCTCTGGTGAAACTACAGACTGGTGCTGCAGTCTCGTCCCGTTTCGACCGGGGAAAGTACATTGTTTGTGGTGAGACATGCAAACTAACTCACCAGTCAGAGTCTGCCCTGAATATTAGAGTCTACTGCCTTGATGAGTGTCTGGGTCCTTACTGATTGACTATTAAAGCCTTCAACAACGACTGCTACACAAAAAGGAGAGCGTTAAATGTCACTACTTATCAGAGACCAACAGCGATGATTTGATGGAGTGCATGGACTCCAATGCCAGTGATTGCTGTGAGATTATGAGCTATGAGAAAACTCACCACTGGCCAGTTGTTTATTAGCGTTCTGGTATCATAGTTCCCAGATCACGTGATCAAATTTGACACACCAGACCACGCCTATAAACAATTTTGCATGCGCGCAATCCAGCGCGAAACAAAACTTTATGAACTCAAGCAATGTAGCTTAAATAGTTACTAAGCTGTAGAAGTGGCTTCTGCAGCTTTAGTGCTCCTATATCTATCATTATATCATTCTTTTATATCGTACATTGGTTCCTTTTGCTGTTGAGCACATATATCATTTGCTTTCTTCATTGCTTTTATAGTCAAAGGATGGTTTGAGCCAAGATGATGTTTGTATTCTACAAAATATCATAAAAACTTTTGATGTGGTGTAACTACTTTGTCTTGTTTCTATGACAATGGACAAAGCTTCCTCTACTATTTCATCCAAGGTCTCTTTAGGTAATGCAGAGGATATAGGTACAGGCTCATGCTCAACTTGATGTTCCTTTGCAGTATCATCTTTTGTTTTCAACGACTAGAAATATAGAATGAAATTATTATTATTATTTCATAATTGCATTAAGTCTACTTCTCGTCTTTCTTGCTTATCTTTTACTTTCATTTTCCATTCTTTAGCAAGAAAAAGTACATCTGACACTATTTTTCAAGTCAATAAATAATTATTAATGTCCGCAGTCAACTTACCTCGCTTTAATGAAGGCCTCCGATGCTGTAAAAAATTTTTTAAATTGTAAGCATATCTGTATATAATAACTTATGATAATTAGCAAAAAAGTACCTCTGAATGTTCTACTGATTGTTGATTAGGAGACTCCTATAAAAAATAATGAAGCATTTACAATCTATTTACTCATCACTCTACTTCTTTTTTCTCTTCATTGCTAGTCTACACAGTAAAGGATTATACATCTATACTAACTAAACTATATGCACCTCATGGACTCCAACCTTTTTATTAGAACTTGAAATGGTGATCAAAGGCTCTGGTGGGTCATCATCACCTTAGCAAAGTGATGTCAGATTATAATTTTTACTAAAAATTACCTGATTCATTTTCTTTGCTAATTACAATGCTAGGTACATTAAATACAGCCATTTCAGCAGCTGCACCAATAATGAATAATTTAAATTTAATTAGATACACCCCCACAGAGCTATATAGATAAAATGCATTTGAATGTACTGGATCTATACCCATTTATATTACATAGTATGTTGTGACATGTGTGCATGCTTGTTTATAAATAAGAGATATAGGAAGGTGTATACATGTTGTGGTAAGTCATTCAAAGTTGACCACTGTTACTCTTGCTGCTGCTGATAGTCTTTGATGTTTGTCTCTTAAACAAGAGGTTGCCAGTATAGAGGAGTCTCTTGTAGAATAAAAACGAGAGAAAGAGAACCACACCAGATGTCATACATGTCACCACAAAAAGAATGTAAGCAATGTATGAGAGGTTCTGTACACTGTACACCTGAACTGCAAACAGGACAGTCAAGTTACAAAAACTGGTTTGAATTTAAAGAAAGAAAGAATAATTATTATTGGTGCACTAATGATAAGACTGGCTTGCCTATAGTCTTTTGCTATGACTGTTGCTTCAAATACATAAACCCCATTACGAGTTCCCCACTGAATATAAGAGCCACCATTGCTGCTGTTAAGAATCTGATAAGGCAATTTAGCGCTTGAAGATGAAAGAGATCCACTACCTTCGAAGCAGTTTTGATAATTCTAAATAATATAACGTACGTTAGCAATGATAAAAATTGATTATCATTTTTTTTACTTGAGGAGTCCATGCTTTATAAGGGTCTTCAGCATTAGCTAGTATTTCTTGCCAAGTCTGAGGTGCTCTTCTGCATCCAACCTACATGTACATGTATACATATCAGTAGTATACATGTAGCTCTTTATAACAGTTTTTAATTGGCTAACATCATCTGCTGTTGCTGTGTAACTGAAGTCTGTCCTACCATGTATCTCCCTAACAACAAAATCAACTCCAACTCTTTCATTCAAAGTGCTCCCATCGTATCTAATTATAGAATAAGGGCTATACATTTATACTCTATCAATGCTTACAGAAATAAAACTGGTTTGTAATTCTCGTTGTGCAGGACTCTTATGGGACAGCCCCACTGTCTCACATTGTAACGAACAACCTATACATGTATGTACATGTACACTAATTCAAAAAGCAATAGCTAATAGTGCTACTTTGTCTTGGAGACCTTTAAGATTTGTACGACCTTTCATTTCCGAATCATAGTGATCACTGTGATAATGTTAATAGCGTCATGTGATGGTCACCTGACTTACCTTGGTATTGTGTATGTGTAGTCTTCCGATTCGGTACAAGTGGTTCCTCTATTAATAGAAATAATAATATGATCTACATTATTATAATATGCACTATTACCTTGTTATTCTTATATGTCGCTCTGGTGGACAGGCTACAAATATCTCTACATTCTAAATCAAAAAATAGATAAAATGATTTGATACAATAAATAGAGAAAAATTGCCTCTTCAGCTAATTCATCACAAGTGAGTGAGTGAGTGACAGGACTTAGTTTCATAACAGTATAACCAGTAGAATTATTAGCAGTTACTGTAATACTCTATAAAATAGAAGAAAATAAAAATAATCAGGATCCATTCAACCAGTATATATTTAACTCACCATATTACGTTTCACTGATCCTTGTAGAGCAGTTTGTTCTTCAGTTGATTGTATGTCCTTATTTATGGCCCTAACATTACTGAATGATACCTAAGACTAATGTTATATGTATGAATCAATTTGAATTTATTTACAGATATATTGTTTGGTGACCAGACTCTTGGTACTAAAGATACCCAGACCTACCAAATAACTCTCAGAGGGTATTGGATTCTGTTGGATACTTACTGTAAAAGTATCACGAATGTCAATGTAATATACATTAGATTGGGCTATATTGTGAGTCCATTGAAGATAAGGGCAGGCAAGAGGAGGATAGAGTGCTGAGAGCAGCAGTGAATATACTGGTACTGTTCTAACTGAAATACTGCCATTACTATTATTAGACAAATATTTTATACATGGAGTAACTACCTCTCCAGCATTGATAGGAATTTTAGATTCCCCAATGAATCAAAGAATATTGTACTGTTTTCATTGACATAATATAAGATCTAGAGAGTAAAATGGTTTTATTTATCAGTAGAAATGAAGTGACTAATATGCATATGAATATTTAATAAAAGTTGTGATGATGATGGGGGACGCGCGAACGCAGTCCCCCACTACCAAAAATTGCACGCCCGAGTCTCCCACGTTTGGGGAGATCGCACGCTTCAACCCAACAGAGTGCAATGTTGAGCCTCCACATGGAGGAACTGCCTGATTGATCACAGTATCCTCTGCGCCAGGTAAGTTATCTTAGCAGTGTCATCCACTGGCTTATATAGCAGGATACTATGGAAAAGCAATTGTGGGTTGGCCAACTTGCAAATGTGTGGCTTGTTTTATGTGCTTGGATAGTCACTGATAAGTATCACATCTTCCTTTGATGTGGTACTGCAGCTTGAAAACTATTGTATATTATTAATGGACTGTACTAAAGGTACATTTTGTTCTACTGAATTACCTTTAATAGTTGACCTGTGGCTATTCTTCCATAGAAAAGAGATCCATCAGAAAGAACTAATGCTATCTGTCCCGAAGAGCCTTAAGAATATGTAGAATATAGATCTACACTGTGTAAACTTCACAAACCTGTATCAACATGCCTTATATATTCGTCATTCCTCCATTGATATTCAGATGAATGGTTTTGAAGGATGCTCAATGGTAGTAAATCATCTTTTTTATTTAATTCAAAAATAACCAACAGTTGCTCTACATGCACAAGCTTACCTCCAGTTAAAGAATAATACATTGACTGTCTTCCCCAGACTATCAGGTCACCAAAAGGAGAAGGGAAATATTTTACTAGCAGCTGCTCAGGACCATTACCTAATGATTTTAAAACAGCAATTATCTCTTTCAATTAACTTACCATTGCTAACTGTTGCATTAGACCATTCGTTTTGCCTTACATCATAGTGCAGAAAGAAAGTTTGCTGTAAAAATAATTGGATTTTTTAAACAAATTTTTAAAGTTGCTTAGAAATTGGTCCAAAAATTGCTACAGATTTGTGACAATGGAACTATTGGGCTTTTGCTTGTCATGGATTTTCTAATAATGGAACCAACGGGTTTTTGCTTGTCACGGAATTTCATGACAATGGAACCAATGGGTTTTGCTTGTCACAGATTTCGTGACAATGGAACCAATGGGTTTTTGCTTGTCACGGATTTCGTGACAATGGAACCAATGGGTTTTTTGCTTGTCACTGATTTTGTGACAATGGAACCAATGGGTTTTTTGCTTGTCATGGATTTTGTGACAATGGAACAAATGGGCTTTTTGCTTGTGTAGAAAGTTTGAGCTGATTATGATCAAAATTGGATTTTTTATGAATTTTAAAAGTTGCTCCAAATGCCATGTACTGTACTGTAGTGCTTGCTCATGAAGCTCATGCTGTTTAGGTCACTAGCATACTACTTTGTGAGAAACCCATCAGGTATACATGCATATACTTACATTATTGTTTGCTGTATAGAACATTAAAGCTTCATCTTTTACAGGATGAACTTGCAAGGACTGAATGGTGATATTATCCCTAGATATTGGTATGGTAACATTACTAAAACTCTTCCCACCATCAATAGATACATATAATAACATTACCTAAATAAATAAAGACATAAGACAAATATAATAAGGTATCAAATGCATACAGTATGTGACCAGGCAATGACAATATCATAATTATCATAGATAATGTCCCTTCCTCTACCAGTTATATGAAAGACATTATTTTCTAATATGGAGGATGTTAAACCTAAATAGAACCAATCACAATAGTCACTGATTGAGAGATACCATAACTTACCAGAGGGAGAGTGAATTGAAGTACTCTCATTCATTAGTGCAATGATCTCTTGGTCAATCAATAGTACTATACCAGTACTAGTGTACACTATATCCTTAATACTACCAGTATAACCATTAACCTTATATGGTAATATAAGAAGAGTTAAATTAGATGAAGATGAAATAAGGAATTACTTCAAATACAGAATATGCTCTGAAACCATCCTGTGTCATGATATTTATATTTCTAAGGAAAGTTTAGTAAATATATAGTCTCGCGTAGCCAGACCACACCCTCCGTGCCTCTGGCTACGTGAGACTAGTAAACATATTTGTTTCTTTAGTTCTCACCCTTGTATTGCTATGGCAACAGAAGGTGCAGCAGTATCTCTGAACAGCTGTAACCCATTACCTGTGTCGTTCAATAAAGTGGCCATTTGGTTCTAATGATAATGATATTAACAGTGTAGCAATGTGATAATATTCATGATAAATAACTTACATGTACTGTAATTAGTGAATCAATGAAATACTTTGGTAGACTGATAACAAAACTAGTTGATCTATACAATATCAGACATTCACATTATGTTTACACTATGCTCAGTTTATTATTTATTTACTTGACAATACAGTCCAATAGACTAGCTGCACTGTCATCAATAGTCAGTGGGTATGAGTATATATCACCTACTAATCCTGACAACTGGAATTCCCAAAAACTAGATGTGGTTTAGATAGTAATCATTATTAATAGTAAAGGTTATACTTAGATCTAGATAGAGTACCTGTTATTGAATCCTATATAGTGCACATTCATGTTATTTTTACTAGAAGGGACTATCCGTGGGTAATCCCCTAGTAGCCAAAACTGATGAGTAAGTGACTATGTGAGAAAAAAGAAGACTACACACATGAAATAATTATAAAACAATAGACTCAGAGATATTTTTATGATGTAATTTGCTTACATTTGATGAAATGGTGGATGACTGGCCATTATTTATCCAAACAAAGAGAGAGTACAAAGTGGCGTTGATATTATGCACATATGAAGTGTCCCACCAGTAGCAATATGGAGTGCTGTCAAATGGAACCTGTTAGATGAATACAATTTTTGACAGTTACACAAGTATCATACCCAAGTAGACAGACTTTCATTTTCAATTTGAAGTTTCACATTATGAAAACCAGGAGATGCACATTGAATTAGCAAAGCAGTGCTAAAAAACATGCAGGCATTGTTTTTAAAGTAGCAAATAAAACTGACTTCATTCTAATGTCACATTTAGAACTGTAATTCAATATTATGCTAATGTTATTAGCAATAATTGTGTTCAGAAATATCTGAAATCATGGTATGAGAGACTGATTAATGTGTGTTGTATACATACAGCTGGTGTTTTATAAGATAGTAAGCTAAAGCTGCTCATATCTCCATTACTGTATCTAAAATATTCATATAAAGGACACAATTACCGTAATTAGCAGAAACACACCTTGATAATAGAGTAATGATGAGAGATGTGAAAAGAACTTTAATTTCCATTTTCCACTCTTGTGGGTGGGATAATTGAATTCATTAACCAAGACAGATATAAAAAAACACCGAGTAGATCTAGCACAAAGCTGTCAACAGCATATATACTTAGCGCTTTTCCAAACTTCCAGGTTGTTCTAAGCTTCTAGGCTGTTCCAAGCACTCTCTTGGTAAATGCTTGGAGCATGTAAAATCACTGACTATTGTTTTACAGGGAACAATGAAACGATGGGGTTCATGGGAAAAGAAACGGGATAGTAAACCTAAAAGTACAGAGCTGGGGAGGTAAATGACATTATTGATAATCTAGCTGTTAGTCTACTACAAATAATATCTAGTTATTTTAAAGGTGGCTGGCCCGAAAGACATCTTGAAATTTATTTTCCGTCCCAGCATACACCCCATTTTCCCTGGAAAGCTTATGAATGGCAAGGAGAAGTTGAGGATGAAGTGCCAGAAGTGGTCCAGACGTTATGCCATGTCACCCATAAAAAGGAATTTGATAAGATATGTGAATTGAATCCTGGATCATACACTCTAAAATTTAACAAGAAAAAAGGCAAATCAGGATATGAAAAGAATGATGGATCACCCCTTGGTTACACTTTTACGGCTGCTGATGGTATCAAGACACCACCAGACGAAAGAAGCGAGTACAAATATGTTGATTCAAGTACAGATCTTTTACCTGGTAGCTACTTGTGGTGGTCTATCGATAATAGCATTCAAAATAAGCCACATAGATCTCAATATGGAAGTGTAGCAATATATGGACGCATTGAGCATTTATTTGAGCATTACCAAAAAAGTCTCCCAAGAGATCCTTTGACAGGGAAATTACCTAAAATTGAATTAAGGATTGGTGGGACACTGCGATATAAATTTGAAATATGCTACGTTATTATTGTATGTAAAGAAAAGGAGCCAATGCTACCTTATGACAAGTATCCAGTGTGGCCAGAAGGAAGAAAGATTCATTTTGATTTGAAAGATGCATTTTTATTTATTGATCCAATAAAAGTCAAAAATATAAAAAGGGCTAAACATGATGATTCATGGAGCCATCATGTCTTTGGCTTTCACTTTCCAGATGACCAACACCACATGATTTGTCCCAAAAGTTGCTTCAAAGAAAAGGAAACAATACATGACAATTACATGTGTATCAAGAAAAGACCCGAAGTACCAGGGGGTAAATGGTTATGCCCTGACATAATTACCAATAATTCTCAAAAGAAAAGAGAAATGAGTAACAACTCACTTGATGATGAAAGAGAAAGTAAAAGGCAGCGTTGTGATGATGAAGAGATGTAATGTACTATGTATTTTTATGCACCTACAAGATAATTTATTTTTATACTTACTATTATTTTTATAATAACTCACTGAACTATATTATTATAACTTTAAAATTAACTATCATTGTCATTGTCACTATCCTGTGTGGTAAAAAGATCAGTTGGTAATGAATCTAACATTGATTTGTTCCCTCCCTCTTCCTCTTCTTCTTCCTCCTCTTCTTCCTCTTCCAGTATATCGTCTTCTTCTATTTCTTCCTCCTCCTCCTCCTCTACCTCTTCTTCTTCATCTTCAGATTTTAATTCTTCTTCTCTTTCCTCTTCTGATTGTTCATTTATTTCTTCTGTCTCCTCGTCCTGCTCTCTATCATCTTCATCATTGTTCATTTCTTCAACATCTATCACAGCAGCAGCTGTGTCCTTCTCTCCTTTATGTCTCTCTTTCCCACTGACTCCTCTCTTTCCTTTCCCTTTTGGTACATTCTCCTTGTTCTCTTCACTTCGACTTGATGATGATGATGATGATGCATGCAGCTGTTTCTTTACTTGATCCACTGCCCATAAAAAGATCTATATACCTAGTATACAATAGCATATCGGTAATTTAATACTAGTAATACTTTATGCCACCCCAAATTGCTGTACTTATAAGGGGTGTGTCATAATTACTTCAAAATGTAAACTATAAATATATTAATGCTCCCATTCCCAATCTAGTTTTGATCCTAAACCACGCCCTTCATCAAGGCTTCCCACAGAATTTTGGCATAGTCCTCATCTTTTGGTCAAATTTCATCAAAATTGAAAAGGAGAGAATTCTCAATTTTTATAATGTTTCTTGATGCATATACATGTTTTTATGTTGTGTAGAAAGTTTGAGTTCATTCTGATCAAAACTGGATTTTTTATGATTTTTTTAAGTTGCTAAAAAATCAGGCCAAAGTTCCTGTACTATAGTACATGGTCTCAGGCCAAATTTCGCCAAAATTGAAAAGGCAAAAATTCTCCATTTTATCATTTTAAAAAATACATGTACATGTATTTATTTTGTGTAGAAAGTTTGAGCTGATTCCAATCAGATTTGGATTTTTACAAATTTTTAAGTTGTACGTACTGTGCTTATAGCGGTTCAGCTCACTTAGCATGCTTTTATAGGAAAATGCCACCCTTTATGTGATTGTAATGTTTTTGCTATTAACCTTTCTGCCAAGCTGGTGTAGGGTGTACTCTAATTGGATTTCCTCCAACTCCTTTGCCCTTCTTTCTGACATTATCATAGATAATGTCCTGTCCTCTACCAGTTATATGAAAGACGTTATTTTCTAATATGGAGGATGCTAAACCTAAATAGAACCAATCACAATAGTCACTGATTGAGATACCATAACTTACCAGAGGGAGAGTGGATTGATGTACCCTCATTCATTAGTGTGATGATCTCTTGGTCAATCAATAGTACTATACCAGTACTGGTGTAGTGGTGTACACTATATCCTTAATACTACCAGTATAACCATTAACTTTATATGGTAGTATACACATATAAAAGTAAAATTATATTATGAAGATGAAATTATAAGAAGAAGAGGTCTTACTTCAAATGCAAAATATGTTCTAAAACCATCCTGTGTCATGATATTTATATTTCTAAGGAAAGTTTAGAAAACATATTTGTTTCTCTAGCTCTTACCTTTGTATTGCTATGGCAACAGAAGGTGCAGCAGTATCTCTAAACAGCTGTAACCCATTACTTGTGTCGTTCAATAAAGTGGCCACTTGGTTCTAATGATAATGATATTAACAGTGTAGCAATGTGATAATATTCATGATAATTAACTTACATGTACTGTAATTAGTGAATCAATGAAATACTTTGGTCGACTGATAACAAAACTAGTTGATCTATAGAATCAGACATTTACGTATGTTGACACTAAGCTCACATTATTATTATTTTATTTACCTGACAATACAGTCCAATAGACTAATTATACTATCATCAATAGTCAGTGTGTATGAGTATATATCACTTACTAATCCTGATAACTGGAATTCCCAAAAACTAGATGTGGTTTAGATTGTAAATCATTATTAATAGTAAAGGTTATACTTAGATCTAGATACAGTACCTGTTATTGAATCCTATAAAGTGTACCATCATGTTATTTTTACTAAAAGGGACTATCCGAGGGTAATCCCCTAGTAGCCAAAACTGATGAGTAAGTGACTATGTGAGAAAAAAAGAAGACAAATCAATACTACACATCACACACATGAATACAATTATAGGTAGTAGTCATCCAATACTTGGTACATGTGTGTATGCATGCCATGGTAGATGATTCAGAGATATTTTCTGTTGTTATAAATGATGTCATTTGCTTACATTTGATGAAATGGTGGATGACTGGCCATTATCTATCCAAACAAAGAGGGAGAATGAAGTTGTATTTACGTTATAAACATATGAAATATCCCACCAGTAGCAATATGGAGTGTTGTCAAATGGAACCTGTTAGATAAAATACACATTAGTTCTTGCTTGGTTGTGCATTATACCCAAATCGAAAAAGTCTCATTATCAATATT